GGTCGATAATAAGCAGCCGTTCTGGCCGAGATTGATATTAAATCGTAAACTACCGCGTACCCATTTATCATTATCACGACGCGACGGAACTCCGGTGTGTTACGCGCCGCGACTCTTTCGTGTCTCGATGCTCTGGCCCGGGGAATTCCGGCCAAACGGGTTTCCACGGGAAAGTGTTCTGACAACGGTGGATGATTCTTTGGACTTTGCAAAAACCCACGGTGATTATTCGCGAGTGTGTTTTCGTGTAACCGTCTCCTTGATTCCTCTGGCTGGACCTCATTTGGTGACGACATTTTTTTTCGAGGAACATCATGAATCCTGGAGCTAGATAGTTTTATGTGTACTTTGAATTTTCGGGGGATGAACTTTTAAACGATCAATTTCCTGACACGATTTAATCCTTGAAAATAGATATATGTGTCGTACATAATGTGGATAAATGTTACATTGGATACAAATTAATATGGATAGACTTAGAGTATCGTAAGTTAAGGTAACTTTGTCCCAAATCAGAAAATGATCATTTTCGATTTTGCAACTCTGTAAATTGTTGAATTAAGTTGTTTCTTTTCGTCAAGATGTACCTGCAAAATATCCGAAAAAATGGTCATTTTCTGACTCTGGGACAAAGTTACCACTGAATCAAAATTTCCCTAACTTATCATCAAGATCTTGAACGCGTTCTAAGAATTTTCAAATGAACGAACCCATCCCTAGGTGAACACAGTTTACACAAATCCCTTACCAACACATACTCCAATTGATCTTCCCAGATTCATAAAGTACCTCAGCAAGATCAACCCCCTACCATCTCGCAGTTCCTAAAATTGTACCTCCATTGATCACCTTAAATCACATGGTGCTCGCATACCAAAAAATTGTTCCTATTCCTCGAAGCCCACCCCATTTCGCGTCCATCCCCGAAATTCACAACCGTTCCACCCTCGATTCGAACCTTCCCGATGCACTCGTCCCAGAAGGGACTTCTGTACACGTGGCGGGACTGAGCTGGCTCTCATGGGCTATCCTCGCGATAATCGTCATCAGGGAGATCGCATCGGTTCGGTAGTAGCGAGAAGAGTAACGGAGGGGGGGTGTGAGGGAGCGGGGTCACGGCAGAAGAGGAGGGTGGGAGAAACGTCGTTGACGAGGCTACGGTCTCTCGGCTGCAGGGGTGGCAGTGGGTGTAAAAGGAGGGTGTCATGCCGGCTCGCCGGGAAAAGTGATTGATCGTGTTTCGCCGGAAGAGAAGAGAAGCGGCGAAGACTCTCGGGCAGAGAACACAGGGGGATGGAAGGAGCTGTGGGAGAAAGACGAGGAAAGAACTGGTAGCCAGAAGACGCCTGGATGGTTTGGAAGGGGGTTGGAAGAAAGAAGGGATAGGGTGGAGAAAGATGGAAGTCCGCGAAGCGTGGAACGTTGATAGAGACGGAGAGGTCGAGCCGCAAAACGAGGATACAACCTTCCTTCCTCCCTCCTAGACTCTTCGGTCCGCGTCGCCTACGTCATCCGCAAGCCCCTTCAACCCCCTCACAGAGATTCCACTCGACTGTACGCGCGCGTCGCCCCTTCTGCCCGAAGAGACGGCATGAAGTGGCCGTAAGAAAAATAGAAATAAGCCGCGGCTGCCTCCTTCGTATCTTGCCTAACGAAAAACCGAGTCCAGGGATAGAGGGAGAAAGCTCGCGGAAAAAGCAGGTGACGCGCTCTCAGCGGACGCTGAATTGCCGCCCACCCCCTACCCCCTTGTGCTGTCCTTCGGACGCTCCCGCGTCGGTTTTCCTTCTCGCGCCAACGTCGAGTCGGGAAATATTGCGACGATGCTTTTATTGTCGCCCCCTTACACCACAACTGACAATATTGCCTCCTCGAGCACTTTCGGGGATTTCTTCTGGGCTGGATTTCTCCTGGGTGGGTTCGGTCTTCGATCGTGTCCGTGGAATCGGTTGTGTCTAGAGGAGGTTTTCTTATATTGGAATCGTATTTTCGAGGACTGATTAATCTCTTTAGAGGACGGGCAGGGTTTTTCATGAATTTTTATATTTTCGAATTTGAACTTTTATATGTTTGCGATAGTGTTACCTATACTATGAAAGATGGGCGATTCTTCTGGGGCCTAAAAATAGACTCCTGATCCTCACAGGTTAATCCGTAATGGAACATTTGTACATCCTGTAGGTACAAATGGGTATTCTAGTAGGTACCAAGTTGCCCACACAAGCATTAATATTCATTTTTCAGGATATCAAGAGACTGTGCTGCTCCAGTGAAATGCATCCTCATCCTCATGTTCTGAATTAAAATAATTTCACAATTTTATTCAAAGAAAATAGTGGATTACTTATCTAATTATAGCTGTAGTAAAAACTGTTCTTTCAATTTCCACATTAACAACTGAAGGGACTAACTAAAGAATATATTTTTCTATACGAAACCACACGAAATTGTTCTACTTTTCTCATATTCTAACTCTACAGAATCGACATCGTAGTGCATCCAAGCATGACGTGCCTATTCAAACAGCTCAGCGTCCCTAAATTATTCAATTACACGACGTGGACAGAGCATTGTCTCGATGTCTCAACCATTCCTGTAACTGAACCATCACCGTACTACAATGGGCAAGAGAGGCTCAACCGTCCCCGGCATATTCCGTTCTTAAACCGAACGAGATATGCAGGAGCAACGGGAACATCGTCACGAGGGAGAGTAAAAGTAAAGTTACGGATCGTCTTTGTCGAGTCGTTTGTCGAGCCTCGGCTCGCGCCGGCCGCCGCGGCCCATTGTCGTGCCACGGCAAAACAGAGTGAGTATGCTCTTTGTATAATGACTCGGCGCTTTATATGCTTCGCTCAGCGCAGCTGATCGCAAGTAGACGTACTTGACCGAGTGCAGGACCGAGACACTTGTAGAGCACTAATATAAACACAGCGGCGAAAGAATGACGGGAGCCATTACTTTCAATTTGGACCGCATCGAAGCGTCTTACGTAATACACGGGCAGAGAAGCCCTGATGTTGCGATCTATCCCCGGTTCCATGCGATAGAACATCCATAAAACATGTCTTTAACATTGTTCCTTGTTACTGTAGTAGACATTCTAATTAGGGGTGAAATGAGGGTTGAGAATGAAGTATTGGTATACGGTTCTTAGTTGAAACACTATTGCTTCCGTCATATAGTACCAAAGATTAGAGTATACCTCATCCAATAGGACGAGTCATTAAAAATAACCAAAACATTGGCGTGCTAAGCCTAGCTATTGGCTGGTAGTGTATCTGTCACACCTAAATGTGTACCACCTCCCTTTGTTTACGGTTGTTGACTCGACTTGTTGGATGAGCTGTAGGCAGAGAATTCTACCCAATTATCTTCCCATATTCTAAAGTTCTCGAAATTATTACAAGCCCCTACAATTCACAAGGCATTCCCCCATCCTCTGGAGGTCTAACATCCCCCAAAACCGTTCGAAAATGTTCACAATTGTCATCGTAATCGACCGGTTACGCGAGAAACCGTCAGAAAAGCCAGTACGTCAGACGACCGTCCCTCAATTAGCATGGGTATATCATTTAACCCCCGTTCGAACTCAATAAAATCAGGGACGATCGGCATCGTTTCGGCGAGCATTGACCACACACACGTACACACACACGCACACCCGCTGGCTAAGATGGATTTCAGAAGGATGGAGGCGGGTTAAGGAGAATCCGTAGGAGTGACTATACCGTTTCTATATAGGTAACCCTCGAGTATGGCCCCATAAGGGCACCCAGGATCCACGGTTTCCGTGGCAGGGGTTGGTCTCGTGCAACGAGGGAGTGGGGTTGGCCTGTCACGGGGGGAGGGGAGAGAGTCCGTGAGAGGAGCGACGAGAGGAGAGGGGCTGTCCCCGGCTCCTACGAAACGGCTCGAAGCCAGCCGGCCTCGTGCGGACCTGGAGGGAGTTGGGAACAGGCCGGAGTTGCCAGACGAGTTTCTGCCGAGGCAGGACGAGCTCACTTTCATGGCTCTCTGACAGCTTGGCCGGTCGGAACGCGGATTCCCTGTTTCGTCTCGGGCCTACGGTCGCTTGGACGATAGAAAGTGTGCTCTCGGTGAACAGAATCTGCTGCTCGAATAGAAACAGGATTTTCTTTTCTGGTGTTCGAAATGGTTCTTATCGATCTCTCCCCGCTTTGGACACTTTCGCGAGAGTAAACAGTGTACCGGATACATTCTGTTCGGGAGTTACGAAACCTTGTCGGTTAGCAAAAGTGTTTTTGTGCTCGAACGCATAAGAGAACGTTAAACAGAGATATCGAAGTCGTGAGAGAACGGGTGTCGCGGAAGAGAAATTGGTGACCGTCGGCTTTCGAGACAGCGCTCCGAGGAACGAGGTTGGTGCACCTGCCGCAGTGGTTCTCGTGGCGCCACTCACGTGTTGCATGCGTGCCGCGCTATCCATCATGGTCGCGGAGTTGGAACAGCTCTGATTGGTCGGCGCTCCGGTCACGTGGTATGGTAATTGGGCTTCGGTGGGCGGGAAGGAGCGAACGAGGCCGCGGAGCTTCGTGGAAGATCGCAAAAGTGGCGGAAGGAGAGGAGAGGATAAGCAGCTGTCCACCGGGAGTCCGCTGCTCTCCGTGGTCCCGCTCTTTTCGCTCGTTTTCTCTTCTCCCCCTGGTCTTTCTGTCACTCTTCTTTCTTTTCTTTTACCCGTCTTCGGCTCACCCCTTTCCCCTCCGGTGGACAAAAGTCACCCTGTTTCTCGGTTCGCGGGCCGGGGGATAAGGATGTCGGACGGGTCGCCACAGTGCAGTGCGGTGTGTACGGTTCTGATACAATGAATATTACCATGGAACCGTGTGACTTTATGAACTAAACTCGTGGACAAGCGACGGATAGGGACGTATATCGAAATAGACCAGTGTTGTTAACATCGATCATCAAGAGGTGACGTGCTACCGATATTGAAAGCTTAAAGTGTCCAGGAACCGACAGCAATCGTCGCAAACATGAGTTCGTTCCTGATGAATCCATCCGCCGGCGGTGGATATCATCATCACCAGCATCAGCAAGCGGCTAGCGCTCATCATTTAGCCGCGACATCCGTGATGGTGGACCCGAAGTTTCCACCCAGCGAGGAGTACAGTCAGAGTAATTACATCCCGTCTACCGGTGCTGACTTCTTTCCTGCCAGCGGGGGTGGCCACCATTTGAATCATCCTCAGTCCCATCAGTTGCAGTACGGTTACCATCAGCATCATCATCAGGCTGCGTCCACTCCGTACGGGGCGTCGTCCGCTGTCCAGTTGAACGGCGGTTACGCCGGCTATGGCGGCTACTATGGACCGCACCATCCTCATCACCAAGTGCACGCCGTTCATCACGCGAGTTTGCATCCTCATCATCACGCGGTCGGCGCCCTGGCGATGCCGCCCGAGGCCCAGCAACCGCCTCTCACGTGTCCATCCACGATGCAGAACCAGCAACAACCGCAACAACAGCCACCTGTGTCCGCGTCGACTGTCCTCGGCGCGACTCCACTGTCCCCTGGTATTATGCAGAATCATGTGCAACCGCCGGACAGTCTTCAGCATCATCAACCGCCCAGTCAGCAGCAACCGCCGCATGAAACCAATGCCTGTAGCCCGGTCAGCTCGAGCCAGTTGCATCGCGATAACTCGCCGGACCTTCAACAGCAATCGGCGGCCAGTCAACAGTCCCAACACATACAGAACGCGCAACAGCAGCAACAGCAACAGAACCAACAACAGTCGCAGCATCACGTGGACGATGGTTCCGATCAGGATGACATGGAGGACGATCAAATGATGGACGGATCGCCCGGTATGATGGAGGAGGAGGACGACGACGAGGACAACGGGGATCGAGTGATTTATCCGTGGATGAAGAAGATTCACGTTGCCGGCGTCGGTGAGTTGAGACCTTCGAAGTAGCGAACGATGGGGACGAGAGATTGGATATTGGCTGTCGCGTAATGGGTCAATTTTAAGGGTGATTTGATCGTTCGGGTCTGATAGTCGTTTTAATATTCAGGCTGTGGTATTAATCTAGCTGTAGGATTCGAGGAATGGATTTGAAACGGGTGACGAAATTTAGGATAGAGGTTATTTATTAAGAAACAGAGAGCCAGTAGTATGTACTCGCCATCCGACGGAAAAGGTTAGGCTTAAGCACTTGGCGACATTGCTAAGCTTTTATAACCCCCGGTTTATTTGGCCGTTTCGTTTGTATCATTCGTCTCATTCGATATGGTTTTATTATACCTTTTCTCCATTACATCGAAACGATGTCTATTAATTTCACGGTGCATCTTGCTGGGCTTCCGACCTCTACACAATCTCCAATTCCTGACAGCAAAAATGATAGCCTGTACGCGTTTACCGTGGTGCAGCAAGGTGCGCGACAAAAGACGAGAGGCGGGGATCATTGCTAAGTTTACCTGTGAAACTAATGTATATATATTGCGGTCGCAAGGTGACACGTTACCGAAGGAGCCGGAAGACTGATGAGCAGCAATTTATCGTTGCACCTTCCGTTCACCTGCGCGCGATTCTCAGAGCTTTGGTATTCGGTTACCCCTAAGGTCCCGTCATTCTTCATGGTCCTGTGGATGTCAGGTGGAGAAACAAGAAATTTCAAAAGCTAGTCAAAATACACAAGCGACGAACAAATTGCCAGGAGTCTATTTTCGGTTTAGGGTAAATAGTCTTTGACGCTGAACCAGGACCAAAATAGAAAGTACTTGTCACTGAAATGAGGCTTAAGAACGTGTTTACTTATCGTTTGTGAATTTCTTATAAGAGTCCTTGATTATATTATTAATGGCATCAATTTTTTCTTCGAAAATCCCAAGTTTTCATGGAAGCTTCCAAGAATATTACAGTTTAAATTACTGAACCAGAATAAGTTCAGAGTAGTGGTACTTTTATTTGTTAAGTAAGTGTAAAATTATTATTTCCACATTTCCTTTATTAATTAAAGATACATGTAATTTAGAATAAAGTAATTTTCATTGGAAAGATTGATAAATATGGCGCCGCTTGAACGCGCTCGTAGCCTTCCAATCCACGGTAGGCGTTTCGCAGAAGGATTATGAATCTTCAAAGGGAATTTTTGCAACGTAATATCCTTCAGAATTGGGCTGCCTTTGCAGCCTCAAATTTCTATTCGGTTTTGACCCGGGGGAAACTGCTGTTCATTCCAGCTTGCAACTATTTCCCTTTGAGCTCGTTCTACTGGGATAGGATCGCTGTAAAGCCGAATATCATAATTCATGTTTCCAGGTAACAAAAAAAAAGTGTCTGTGATGAAAGAAACACAGCTTGCTGTTCGTGAAACGAGATTTTTTCGAACGTTATCCCACAGTTGTGGTTTTATTTTTTTTTTAGATGTCATCGAAAGTTCAAGTACACATTTTGTGAGGTTGTAAATCGATTGTATTTAATCATCGGATACTTTCTGAAAAATAATATTTATCTTGTAGACGGCTTCTTACTAGAAAAAGGGTTCTTTTAAAATATATAAAGTAACTTCAAAATCATACACAGCGTCTTGATGGATTGGCTTGATCTTTCAATCATGTTTTACCTAAAGCAACCTACGATCTAAAAGGTGGATCATCTTAATTATTAAAGCATCATTAGGCTTTTATTGTATTATGGATACATTTTAAGAAAGTGAGGGATAAATTCATTGGAGTAAATGTAAATTATATTATTCATTGTTCGACAATGCTTTATTGATTCTTCAAATATACACGTTTCAATGATTAACCAACGAACAGTTTCTTGCCTGTATTAGTCCTACTACTGTTCTCGAGAATTGACGATTCAAACTTCATAACTTCCCTTACAATATCAGAAGTACATCTCATTATAAGTTTCCCAAGTTTTCTTTCTTTTAAAACAGCCAAGAACGGTCATCTTCTTGTACCAAATCGGCCATCTTGTCACCACACTATCCACACTGGCACTTATCCTGCATCCAACCATATTACTTTTTTATTCATTTAATGACAAATAAAATAAGAACCATTGTAATTAGAACTTCCACCAGATCCAACAGAAAGATTGCCAATAATATTTCAAGTCCATCAAGCACTATAATTGTCGCGTTTATAAACAGTTCAAAGCTGTTGACCCCCAAAGAGACCACAATTGCACCGCCGCTCGGAACGCGTAATTTCCACGCGAAGAAGTCTCGTCATTTTTTGGCAAACAACGAGTTGTCTCGGGTGACCGTAGTTGGTTCAAAATCCCTCTGGTTCGATGCCCATCGCCTTCCGAAGTCTGGTATGCGTGTCCTGGTCGGCTTGTCCGAGACTGCAATCTCTCCCCTCTGAACGTTTCGAGGCCTGGTCATCGGACTTGCTGGCTGTTAGGTGGGGCATTCCCGAGACCGTCGGTCAGCTTCGGAATGGAATGCGTCTGCACAGATTCTAAACTGAAACTCGCTCCCATGTTTCCTCTATCGAGTTCTACGGACCACCACGAAACGCTTCTAGCCGTGCCACCGTAGAGGATTGACGGTTGCTTGATACGACCTGGGACCGACGCACGAATCCCTTCGTCCGTGTCACCGTACTCAGGATATTGGCCGATGACGATTGGGTTATTGTGATAACTTCCTTCGGGACTCGATTTAGTTTCTTAAGGTAGTGAAATTTGTCAGAATTTTGTATTTCGTTGAGATTGGTTGTTTGGGAAATCGGTAGAAAAATGAAATTGAACTGGAAGATTAGAATGAGGTACTTCAGAAATTATAGGTATTAAGACACTTGGTTTGTACGAAGAAAATAGGGTGTTTCGTATAAATTGTATTATTATGTAATTTGGGCTATGTTTGTTACTTCATAGTAGCATAAACGTTAACCATTGAGCTTCATTAGGTCGTAATGTATGAAATGATTTTTATTCAGTTCATGGGAAACCCACATTTGGAGTTCTTTCATCTTGTCGATTTACTTTCAAATGTTTTGATACTGTCATAACACTTGTATCAATTTGCGTTGCAAGTTCTGCAGGTTTCTTTGATCTGATTCCACCGAGACCTTCGAATCTTCCTCAAAGGTTAATTTTCATGACTGTTATCGCTACAAGGAAATTTAGACAACCAATAACGAATAATACGTTGGTTTACCTTCCCCAAAAATTGTACTAGTATTGTATGCCGCGTTAGCTACGGAGTGACCGAGTTTAATCTCCAAAAAGAGAATGTATTCATTGTACCGTGGCACAGAAAATATTGAAGAGCTATATTCCAAATATTATATCAAAAAAAAGATACACCAAACAATAGAGCAGAGGTCGACATTCAATTTTATGTAGTCATTCTGCAGACGAAGGATATAACTCTTGATGCAATCTAGGTGAAGAAACTAAGGCGTTCTAATGAACATTTGATATGTTACTACCTAATAATATCCTCTGAACGATATTTATTTCTAACTTTCAGCAAGATAAGTGTCCTAATACTTAATATTGATCAGTGTAATAACAAGAGGTTGTAGTATCATACAGAACTTGTTCTAGGTCGTTCTAGAATATTTATAGCGACTCGATGTAGTAAACTGCTGGATAAGACAAAGAGGGATTTGATTCAGACAGATAAACCGAGGAAAAAGTGAGTGAGAAAAAAGTGATTATGCATAGGAAGGTAAAACAATGAAAACAGAGAATTTTCCATTAGAATGAACTGGTAGACTCGAGTGTAATCCTATCAGATAGTAAAATCTCGAGGAAAATAGACATAAAATATTTTGAACCTTCAATGTTATTAAAAATAATTCCTCGTTAATGAAAATGTCAAAGCAATAAGCTCCAGAAGATCTTATCCCCATTTCGATACAATTTAATGTTCCATTGCTTCGACTCTTCGCGTGCTCCAGCTCCGTAGAATCGAGTTTATTTCCAAGTGACGCGTCTTCATTATCGTCTTCTCAAACATTTCGACCAGTAAAAGACGTTTGCTCCGTAATCCCCGTTCAAGTTCGACAACCATCGGCCACTCGACGGTTGAACGGATCTCTCGGCCTTGGGAACATTGGTCCATCGATTGTGAAATGTAGACCCGGTTATTATTACGCTTCTTAAGAGAACGTCGCCTCACGGTGTTGGTGTACGCCGTCCATAGGTACCTATATCTTTATCGGTTACAATCACCGATCGCATGTTCTGCAGCGACGGCTGTGGCAACGTTTACTGACGGTGACACGGCGATCGTTCTCGATTTCCACGATAGAATCGACGCTGGAATAGGTCTTGTAATGATCCCGGTTGTCGCCAGGTAAATGCTCACTTTACGAACGCATTTCGTTGCTGGCAAGAATTTCGACAGGAAGGTCACGCAATTATCGAATGCATTAATGAAGAAATTGACGGTATAATTTAAATTCAAGATATATTCCCGATTATTTTCATGGTGGAAGTGGTATGGAATGTCATAGAATATCTAACAGTGGATTATTTCTTAGAAGGTTTAATATTACAAACGAAACTTGTCAAGTAAATGAACGTTTCTTTAAATAAAAGATTTGTCACTTTCTTCTTCAAGCTCAAGGTATTATTAGATATTCTTTTCGTCTCAGATCCTGAAAAGTTTTCCCCTTTCCTTAATGTGTATTCCTCGACGTGAAATTGTTCCAAGAAATTTGCAAAAATTATGGGCAATAGCGAGAAGAGGGCGGCAGGTGTTCTCGATAGATTACTCACGGGGTTGTTTGTAAGACACTGTACGCTTCAGTATGTACGCGAGACAAGTCGACCGCGACGGCAAGATAAGAATAATGGAATATGAGCGAAAAGGACGGTTCGTGCATACCCAAGCAGAGAGTTATGCGACATTATCGACGAATGATTCCCTGTGCACACACGGACACTTGTTCTGCCATTTTATCGTAACACGCAAGGTCAAAATGGTTACGTGGAATTTTCTGCTGCACGCCAGGGAAATCCATTTCAAGTTAGAAAAACTGGGCACGTAGGAATGTGTGCAAACAGGGTGAAAAATGATTTCGAACATAACAGTCTTTATATTAATCACACATGTTCAGTGTCGCTCAAAATCGTTGACAATCCTTTACTGTTCGGACAGTTGAAGTTTTTTCGAAAATGAACAACAATTTTATTGAAGGTAATATATACTTTTGCGCAAAATTGCAACTCCCTGGCTACACAAGGTTCTTCTATACATACAATATCTGTTCGTAAGCTTAATACCATACTACATATATGTAACATTTTTTTAAGTCTTTATTATGCAGCGTGATATAGGTACATACGAATTGTAAGCGCAACTCATAATTTACTACCGCCCCAATAAGGGGGTACAGCTCTCGATTGTACTTTTGATAGGCGACATATGGCTTCTATCCTAATAAGGTTCAGCCATCACTGGTATACATCAAAGAGACAATTGTGCACTCACCTCAATTCCGCAATGAAAAGTTTCTAAATCGTGAGAAACTTGTACTTTCCTCCCAAATCATGACTCTCGGGGTATCAATCTGGGAGTGTGACATCAGAGAACTACTAAGTTGTTGAAAGTTTGATCAAATTCTATGGACTAGTCAGAAGATGTCGAATGATAGATCACTGGAACCAGTAGGCCGATGCTGTAATTCAAAACAAAATTCCATCAATCGATACATCTTCCAAAGACTGAACCTTTCGAGTCACCCTTAATTTCAGAGTCACCTGAGGCGTTAATGTGCTTAGCCACGTGCTCTGAATTTGCTCAACACCCATTAGGCCATTCCAGGCGACGCGTTCCGTCGCGATGCCACGTCGTCCAAGCAGTCCCCCTCGCAATAAACATCCTCCGACCCAGACGTTCGACCGACCGACTAACATACCCCGTTCTCTGTTTGGTTCTTTCCAGCGAACGGCTCGTATCAGCCGGGAATGGAGCCGAAACGTCAGAGGACCGCGTACACGAGGCACCAGATCCTCGAGCTGGAGAAGGAATTCCATTACAATAGGTACCTGACGAGACGGCGACGTATCGAGATCGCTCATACCCTGGTCCTGTCCGAGCGGCAGATAAAGATCTGGTTCCAGAACCGTCGAATGAAGTGGAAGAAGGACAACAAGCTGCCGAACACGAAGAACGTGCGCAGGAAGAACGCGAACGGTCAGACGGCGCCGTCCTCAGCGAAACCGTCCAAGACCACCTCCGCCGGTTCGAGGACGAAGCTCGCGACTGGGAACAACAACAGCCAACGAAAGAACAACAACAACTCCCCTTCGAGCGGGATCGACAGCAGTTTGGACTCGAACGTCGGTCTGGACATGGGTGATGTTCAAAAAAATCCGCATACGAACGTTGTGCATCCGAGCTTCCAAGGTCACCCGCATCCCCTGGCTCATCTACAGGCCCAGCTGAGTCATCATCATGTGAGCGGTATGATGGAGGGACCTCCCGGCGGACCGTTGGGCCACATAGGCTCCGGAAGTATCAGTCCCCTCGCCCCTGCAACCAGTCCCACCGGATTGTCCCAGGTCTCGGCGCCAATTCCGCCACCGGCGATAAAGTCCGATTACGGGCTGACGGCGCTGTAACATCCGTCCGTGGAATCGTATCGCGCTGGACCGTTCAGTGTTCACGGGAGGCTGCTCGTAGTCAGGTCCTAGGGCACCTAGAATCAGTCGACTTCGGGGGGGGGGGGGGGAGGGGCTAAAGAGTATTGGACTGTAGCTGTGATCAGGGGCTAAAGTCAGACCCAGACGTATGAGGGTCGGGGGGATTTTATACGGGGAAGAACTCTAATACCGCGTCATCCTCTGATCCTTCCTCTAACATGACTGAATCGTTGCTTGATGGATGGATCCATCGGGGGCTAGAAAAAGACTCGGGACACGTAGAAGCCCGGAAGTGACGCGATCCTCTTCTATGTTACATCGCTAGCTACTGGACGAACATCGTTGGTAGACGATGATGATTTCCTGCTGGGTTTCGGAATTCCTCGACCAGATGTACTACGGTTTGTGAATTCTTGGGAATCGATCGTCCATGGTGGGTCGGATCGGAACGGTGACCTGAATGCGTAAAGGACAGCACGAGGTATCCTTGCGGCTCGCTTTCAGAATTACAGCCGAGTCACCGTCATCCGGATGATAGACGCGAGACGATCGGGATATTGAAACAAATGAACTCGCTGGCGGCATCAGTCGGTCTCTACAATCTCCTGGCGCTTTTTCGTCTCAGACGTTGCGTACCGATAGACTTGTTCCAGTCGTCTCCAGCGGAAGCAACGCTGATCGTGTCGGTCTAATTCTTGGGAACGATATTGTTCAGACTTCATCGAGGGTTCTTGTTAAAGTACTTCAAACGATGCGTGTTTCGAGTACTCGAGGAGTGAGTGAGAAACTAGAAGGATAATATTCGTGTGTATTCAAGTGAAAGGAATAGAGTTCGAAAATGGAGTTTTGACTTTGACCGGTGCAAAGGAAGTGAAAAAGATAATTTAAACTTTTGTGAACGGCTCTCGGTTAGTGGTGATGCTCGAGTCTGAATAACAATTTTCGAGAGACTTCTGACCCGGTACGTTTTCATTCAATGTTTCTTATTTCGATTAGTCGAACTGAATTGCTTCTTTGCCGCCGAGTTCTCCATATTCCGGGGAATTTTGATTATCAGCGATGATTGAGTAAAAATTCTCTAGATGTTACATTGCAAATAATTACGATCCTCGATTTTGACGATGGTAAATAGAATCCCTCGAATGTTCACCGGTGACGTTTCGTTCGTCGAAAGCTGTGATCCGATTAGTAACGACCCCCGGCAGACTTATAATTACGGTAGCAAAGGAAATCGACGAAAGGAGATCATAATTGTTCCACGATACACGTGAATCTGTAAATACAACCGGGCACTTGATTCTGTATATAGTCGTGTAAAGAAAGTCTTATCGCTATTGTGATTTAAAACGCATCCATAATTCCGTATGATATTACATAAATGTGCGGTCCTGAGGCATCTTGAGCGTTCGACGAAGGGCCATTAAAATTGCGAAACACTCGACTGTGCTTTATTTAACGGATACTAGTGAATCCATCGAAGCTTGCGCGCACCGTGGATTCGTTGTAAAGGAAACAGAAACGGTGAGAAAAACGCGACGTGAGACTATTTCCGCGTAACTCGGAACAGTAAAGCCGGATTTAGAAGCGAAATAATAAAATCCTAGGGTTATACACATTCGGCTAAACTAGCTTAGAAATAGAATTCGTAGAGGTTCCTTTCTCCAGATATTCTGTTTTTCTTTTTAAATATTCACTGTCGAACGTTCGTTTAATCGACGTAAAATTGAAGCTAATTGAACGGTTGCTCTTTTATCCCCATAGATGAGGCCTCGTCCGGCGAAGTAGAAACTTCCTGTATTCGTCAGACGAGACACAGACGCGTAGGTCGTCAGACGCCGCCATTTTATCGAGATGAAACCAGAGTGAGTTCCGCGAGTACCTCACGTCACGTGCACGTTGTAAATATCGGTCCGAGATGATGTCTATTTTTATCGAGGAAAGTAACGCAAGAACGACCAAGTTAGTGTAAATGGTTCAGTAGTCGACCGGCGTATGCTGGAAAGCTGTAACTACGGAGGAAGAGTAGCAATCAAACGATTAACTGCACAGAGCCGCTGTGACGAATATACCAAAACGATGTTTATCAGATTATTGATATAGGGAAACGTAGTTGTATTAAGGCATTAAGCGACACCGTTAATTCTAAAGAGTGAGAGCGAGAGAGAAAGAGTGGCGATCCTAGATGTAATTAGCGAGTTTAAGCGACGAACCGCACGAGTTTACCGAGAACATTCTATTAAGTGTGACATTATATTCCTTGATATTCTATCGATAATGTATATAGCCTGTACGATAAGAACCGTATCTGGGCACACTCCGATGCTTATGTTTATATTGATCGTAGAGATCGATCAAAATACAATCGTGAAGTAAATAAATCAATAAATAAATGTTTCGTAATTTACGATAACGCCGTGTTTCTTGAACGACACAAAAGAACCCCTGTTTAAGTTTATTTCTGTTAGTTCATATCGTTGGTAAACATATGGATCTTTAGTTATACAGAAATCATAAATTTCTTGAAATATTGCAAAGGAAACGTACTCTTGAGTTGGCTATAAAGGATGTATCGTAATATGGTGATATAGTAGAGAAGTAAATAATTAAAAAAGTCAAATTTGCTTTAATAGGTTTATCGTTTATTAGTTGTTCAATTATGATCAAGTACGCTATTTTCTTTTAAGCAACTGTGCAAATATCGTTGACCATCAAACTTCACAGTCAACTATTTTTAAAATGATGATTTTACTAGAAGACGTTGTGCTTAAACTTTTTTTACGTCACATTATCTACTTTTTCTTTGTAGCTCATGGTATAATCAGAGCTATGCAATTTTTCGTTGAAGGAGCCACAGCGTTCCTACGGTTTAAATACTTTTTCGTTACCTCATAATTTTTCAATAAGTCGAAAAACGATTATTTCTCCTGGCTTGCGGATTTGCTAACTAACGCCATTTTATCAGTTTTTTTTTTCGCGCGACACATCGCGCAGGAAACAAACGATAGCCAACCAGTCGAGGTAAACTTGTTACTTGACAGCGTTGACAGTATCTCATCCCTATTACGTATGCAAAATTGTGTGCATAAATTTACCGCTTACAGAGTCTGCATAATAAATCATTTCCATTCGAAAAGCAATACCTATTGCTGGAAAATATATTAAAGAAAATAACGAGATAATGCTGCTTCTGAATCATGGCGATAAAACCGACCGACGCGCCGCAGTAGCTGCAACATCGCTGGTGAATAACTTAATCAAATTAAAAAGTTTCACACTTGATCGTAGCTTTTTCATCACATTTAATGATATCAGGCACAAAATGTAATTTATGACTTACATGAATTTGCTATAAAGTAGCTTCCCTCTCAAGTTGTGTGATCATGAAGGCATTTGTTTATTTTCACATAATGACAACCATTTCGTATACTTAACATTATTTGACAGTAATGAAATTCTTAGAATTGTAGGTCTGAAATTCGAGTTAATCAGTTACTCAAGAAAATTAAATATGCATTTTTAAAATTCAACCTATTGAACATAACATGGCACTTCGTTTTATTATCGATATATCTGTAATATGCAGGGAGATTTAATAAACAGAATCGAATTTAGGAATACATTGTGCTCACTAAAATTAACGAAGCATATTCAGTAAATATAGATCGACTTATTGTTAGGTGAGAACAGAATGGACAGGAGTTCATGACACACCGGATGACCTGCACTATTTATACATGATGATCCATTACTTGTTGTACAACCTACAAGACTGATTTGTCATGAAAATGAGTCGAAATTGTATAATAAAAGTGTTTCATACGAGGTTTCATTTTCGAGGCAATCGAAGTAGAATATTCGTTCAGTATGCGTGCCATTCAATAGGATTCGGCTAACGTGTCTGTTCATTACGTACCATTTCTACTTACTCTAAGCACGAATGCACGCGCAGCACATTCATAGTTAATTTTCTCCAAAATCAAGTCCCATTTACAAACTTTTATTTTAAATTTTCGACTTACCTTTTCATAAGGAATAAATCTAACATTTTCGTATCACATTTCATACAATCAGGGTTCCATTCTAACACAAAAGTTGTGTAATTGAACATCCTTCTTGATCCTGTATTATTCTTGCAAGAATTACTTTTCTAACTACCTCAAACGAGAACCTTTAACGCCCAAGTCTTTTTTCTGTGCTTAACATAAATATTCCCTAACCCTCATCCCTCTCGCATTTTTCCAACCTAATTTGTCCTTCAGTGGCAAATTGACAAAGTGGTGAAATCTTAATATAATAAACAGATAAATAGTTCAATTTCCAAATTCTTTAAAATAAAAGTCACAGAGTCTCAGCTAAACTTTCCAATACACGAGAAAATAACATAATTTTTTAAAAGAAAAATATTTTATTGCTTCCATTGACACAAGGGACAATTGAGTGTTAAATTCGTCGACTCTTTTGCTTCAAATCATTCTGTCTAAATATCATTACTAGACTGCGGATTTTCTGCATTTATAGCTTTTGCGAAATACAATAAAAAAGAAAACTTGTATCGGATCCAACGAGTTTTCTATTTTATCCTGAAACCAAGACACTCAAGAGGGAGAATAAATTTCTCCGATTGCTCCTGTCTTTATAAATTACTTTAGAAACTTTTATTTCGCATAAAAATCCGCAGTCTAATCATTACATAAGAGTATGGTTTACAACCATCGCGGCGACATCAAATTCGAGCATCTCCGAGCTAAAGGGGGGTTTCCCCTTCCACCTCCGCCTACGCGGTCGCGTATATACGTATATTCGTGTGTATGCGCCCATGCGTGCGGCGTTGCCGCGTCCGCGCATGCGCGAGCACGTGCATGATTGCCGCAGCCCGGGCCGGGGGATATGCCGCAGCAGCCTCGAAAAGAAGGGTGGTACCCGGAAAGCGAATGAGGGGCCGTCTGCACGACCGTGCCTCCGCCCATGCAACCAGCAGC